TATCAATATAGAAGTTTTCATAGAAATATTTTAATTTAACAATAATTGGAAAAACTCGTACAAAAATTTTTATCTCTACGATAATTTATTTAAAGAATATTTTTTTATACTTTCAAACAAGAGATTTCCCCATAGTTCAATGTATTATTGTCAAACTAATCTGAAAATATTTGGAATTAATTTCATTATGAAATTCAATTCTTTTTATTATTCATTAAAAACACTTTCATATTATTTTTCTTTTTCATGAAATTTCAAAAAAATCAGATGAAAAATCTTTATTTGATCAAAAATCTTTGAAATTAAAAAGCACATTTGAATTTTGTATCATTTACAAAACTCTTATTAATTTTTCTTTCGCAATTATTTTTTTATTCTTATCGAAATAAAAATATTCATTATATTATAGATTGAAATTTTAAAGAAAGCAATCAAAAACATTTTTCTTCGTTTTTTTCCTTCAAAACTTATTTGATATTTTATTTTAAAAAAAGTTCTTTTCTTTGTTTCAAAGTCAAAATTTCATTCAGAAAATTATTTCAAATTTTACAATTCGATCATTTCCATAATCAACAACATAAAGATTTCCTTCATCATCAAAAGATAAACCCTTGGGAAGATTCAGTTGATTTAATTGATTTCCTCTTCTATTTCCACCAACAATAATTTCACCCTCTTCTTTTCCTTCACGCCAACGCATTACTCGATCATTGCCACTATCTGCCACATAGATTTGGCCTAAATGATCAACAGCTATTCCTTCAGGTTCAAAAAATTGATTGAGATTTCTTCCAAAACCATTTCCTCCAGCCACAACTGTTCCTTCTTTCGCACCTTTTCTCCATTTCATCACACGATTATTGCTTCGATCTGATACATAAACAGATTGATCCTCACCAACAAAGATAAAATCAGGATAACTAAGTTGATTGAGTTGATCACCTTGTTTATTTCCACCTGCCACTACCATTCCTTCAATATATTCTCCCATTTTCCATCGTCTCACTTCATGCTTCCCTTGATCAGAAACATAAAGAAACCCATGTTTATCCATTGCCAAGCCATAACAAGAAATATTCTCAATGAGAATTTGTTGATTTTGATTCAGCCATTGAATCACTCGTTTGTTCCCACGATCAGCAATGATGATCGAATGATTTTGTTGATCAATAATCACATCTGTTGTATAATTCATTTGATCTATTTGATCTCCTCTGCCATTTCCACCTGCAATGATTTGTCCTTCTTTTGCATTATATTTCCATTCAACAATGCGATGATTATAAAAATCAGCAATGAAAATATTTTTGTTTTTATCAATAAAGATTCCTTCTGGACCATTGAGTTGATTTACTTGTTGTCCTTGTCCATTTCCACCAGCTACAGTAATGGCATTTTGTTTCCATTTATTGAATCCTGATACTAGAAAATAACGAGAAAACGTTTTTGCTGAAAAGAAGAAAATTTGTCTTTTATCGAAGAAAAAGAAAAGATTAATCTTGAATGAAACTTTAATTTTTTTTTCGTCAATTTTGAATTATGAATGAAATATTCATACACATGTTTAATGAAAAATTAAATTTGATTTCATTTTTTTACTCAATTCTGAAAAGAATTTGTTGACAAAAAAACATAAATTACTTGAAGTTTTTATTTAGAAAGTAAAGATAAATTCTTTTCAAAAGAGTTTTAATCTGAACAGTCTTTTGTTGTTGTTGTGTACTCAAAAAGTGAGTACACTATTAGAATCGGTCAGTGTGTCCGGCCGTCCGTCCGTCCGTATACACGATAACGCACGAAAGGAGAGTCAGATTGTAATGAAATTTTCAACACAGTTCAGTCTCATCTAGATCTCGGTCGAGTTCGAAGATGAGCTTAATTGGCCGGGCCATTCCCGAGTTATTGAAAAAATACTGATATTTCCTGCTTTTTTGTATTGGAATATTGACGTATTTTGACTTTGACAAAAAAAACTTTTTTTTATAAGCAAATAAATCTTCAGCTATTATATACCATTCGAGAGAAAATTTCAAGGGCTACAAGACGGTATATAAATGTTAAGAAAAAAGTGCAACATTATATTCTAACGTCGAGAATACTTTATAGAATCTCAACAAACTGGCCAGTGAACGTGATTCATTTGACACAGCACTCACTTTTATTTCTAGTATTTTTGCTAATTTTGTCGCACAAAGGGTAATTTGGCATGTAGAATCCAAATCTGATGTCTGTTTTAATTAATTAATTAATTAATTATTAACTCTGTTCTAATTAGTCGTTAATTAATGAAGAAATTTTTTAAGATTGGAAAAGGTGTATTGGAATGTGGAGAGTCCGAATTTGGTAGTTGATTTAATTAATTAATTAATTAGTTAATCAAGCAAGCTTAATTAACGTTTTTTCACAAAAACTAAAATAACTCAGATTAGAACGGAGAACTTGAATCTGAAGTTAAATTTAATTAACCATTAGTTACTAATTAGGTATGAATCTACTATTAATTCTTTGTTATTTGTTTTTTATTGAAGTATTATTCTTTATTTATTAAACTATTATTAATTGATTATTTTTTAAGAGTAGATAGAACTCGTCAAGAGCTATAAAATGATGTAAAGTAATAAGGGGTAGATATGCTGCATTCGATATGTCTTCAGTATCCCACTTGTGAAAAACCATGAAAAAGTTGTATATCTTAATAGTGTAATCTGTGTGATATTCGTTTGTTCTCCATAGAGTGTACGTTATTTTTATGTACTCGAAAAGTGAAGTTGACGATACATTGATTTTGATCAATCTGTCTAAAAAGATTCATCCATGAGCGCACTAAAGAACTGCCCCTGACTCCCTGCGGATGCCCTCTTTTTAGTGTACTCAAAAAGTGAGTACATTACTAGAACCGATCAGTGTGTTCGGCCAGTCGTTTACACGATACTTTGCGAAAGAAGAATCAGATATTGATGCAATTTTCTACACAGTTATATTCATAAAGGGCTCGGTCGAGTTCGAAGTCGAGCCTAATTGTACGAGGCATTCCCGAGTTATTACAAAAATAATGATATTTCCCTATGATTTCCATATAAACTTTTTGCAGTACACATAACTCTCGGATACAATCCGAAGTTTCCACATTTATTTTTTGGATAAAATCGAGTAAAATGAAATGAAGAAATATTTTGTTTTGAAAAGAAAAAAAGTATTTTAAAGTTGTATTGTTTAGAATCAAAATTTTGAAGAAAATGCATTTTCATTGAAAGATAACTTATTATTAAAAAAATCGGAAAATATTCATTTTGAATGGAAAAGAAAAATTGAAAATGATAAAAGATTTTGTTGATTTGTTTTTTGTTAAATAAAAATTTAAGAGAAAAACTAATATTTTAGAACAATTTATCAATGAAAACAATAATCTAAATTGAAAAATTTGTATAAAATAAAACAAATAAATAAAGATTTAAAATATTTCAAGCAGAATTAAATTTTATCTTTTAGTTTTTCTTATTAGGTCAACATTAAAATGATGAAAAAAGAAAAATGAGATGATTTACGAAATGAAATCTTTCGAGGATGTGGATGTGAGTGATTCTTCTAATTTACCCACACCGCAAAATTCCTGAAAATAGAACATAGCTGTTCTCTTATGAAAATAATACTTTCAGGTACTGAGTACTTTTGTTGTGTCTTGGGAGTATTACTTCTTGATGTTAAGTACTATTATTCTGTTTTCGAAATAGCACTTCCCATTCCGTAACAGATTTACTCTGTATTTAATTATTAATTTGTTTTGGACGACTATATACTTTAAAATATCATTAGGTAAAATATGGATGCGTTCGTGAACTACAAATTTGGAATTTATGTGTAAACCTTATTTTTTTTTGAACCCAAGCAATATGTCAATTCTTATTTTTTCTTTTATAACAAAACTTTACCATTCTTTGTTGTTGTATGAGAATTAGTCGACGTTATAAGCATTGCTGTTTCTGTTGCCGACGTTGTAAACATTGTTGTTTCTGTTGTCGATGCACTAATTGTAGTTGTAGTTGTATTAATTGTTGATTCGGTTGTCGATGTTGTAATCACTGCGATTTTTGTTATCGACGCTGTAAACATTGTTGTTCCTGTTGTCGATAGATCAATTGTAGCCGCAGTTGTATTAATTGCTGTTCCAGTCTTTTTAATGAAAAGAACCCATATTGTAATACTAATGATAGTTATTACGCTAATAATGGCAATGATAATTAAAATTAATATTGCTTTCCGATGAAATAAAGATCTAAAATGATAGTTATATTTCGAATAAATAAATCAAATACTTACAATCCCGTTTGTTGACGAGTAGATCGTTTAATATGGTTTTTATTCTCTGATTTAGGCTAAATATTTAAAAACGAATTATTCATTTAAAATTCTTTGAAAAATGTTGATTGTTCTCGTAACTAACCATTGAATTTGTTCGATTTGGTAAGCTTTTCTCCAATAATAATGAAAAAAATTAAATTTCTTTCAGAAACATTTTATTTCGAAAATGAATATTCCTTCATAAGTAGGATGCGGGTGTAAGTACGGATACGAGATTCATCCTGCGCCCACCCCTACTCACACCCACACGATTAAAATGGGTTAGTGCGCAAAGAGCCATCACTTCTTTCTACCCCAAGAACTTCAATACTCTTTCAGATCGTATTTCATAAAACGGATTTTGCAAGAATAACATTTACTAGAGATAGAATTAACTGTTCTCTTGATCTTTCTAAAATAGTTATTCCATTTCGTAACTTTTTCTGACACACTCATACCCATAAGAAATCTACTTTCTTGGCTAAAACTCAGATAGAGCAGAACTAGACATGTTGGCTTAGCATTAGTATTAATTTAGCATTAGAATAATGCAGAGTCAATACTAAGCCAGCACCCTTAAATACAACACTACTTACTTTGTATTCTAGTGATGCATTATATGCAGTCACTCGTTTTGCAGCCATCTCTATATCTTCTGGTTCGTTTGTGCCAATGAGAGGTCTTTTATATTCCATGTTTTGGTAACTAGGTTTAGGTACCTGTCCAAGCGTTGGATGTGATGATACTGTAGTTGTTACTTTTTTGCCTGGTGATGTTGATTGTGGTTCTGAAAAGCTGAAATCAATTAAAAACAAATATTAGAAGTGCATTATTGATGAAAAAACGATAATTATGTTATAGAAATTGTGTGATAAAATTGTTCTCATCTGAATTTGTGAAAAGAACTTGGACAAGAAAACATTCTGATGTTATAATTATAAACCCCATGTATCACTACAGGGATCACATCTATTTGACTAAGGAAAATTTTTGATCTAAGTCACAAATATGAGTACGCTTCATTTTGCACACGCAAAATTAAGAGTATCACTGATTGTAACCGTAAGTACACTTAAAATTGGGAAGTCATTTAGGGCATAACATTTCTTGTGCAAAGAAAATCAGTTTCAGACAAGCAAAATTTCTAATTGAAAAATATGTTTTCTTTTAAAACTGAATGTGGATGTGACTATTGCAAATACGCGTAATCACATCCACCCAAAACTACCCTTAAACACAAACTTTTATTATCTCAATTACTGAGCCTATGGAGGATAGTGATACATGATTACACTGGTCAACGATCTTGCCTCTCATCTTTCCAAATTCGATAGTTTTCTTAATAATCAGACGAGATTCTTTATAGTCAAGATGTTCAGGCGAGATTCTCTTTAAAAGAAAAGAAAAAAGATTCCTGCACGATCTTCAAGATCAACATCACATGATGTCTCCCTGTGCATGTATTTATATATACGAACGATTATCCTTTATTTATTCATTTTTAGACCAGATAACACTTGAGTTGCATTTCAAAAGTACGCAAGTCAGAATATTTAAGAAAAAGAGATATGTATATCAAATCATATCACTATATCAAATTGTAGCTGATCTTACACTTTTGGTTTTTAATGCAAATAAAATATTTTAATTATTTTTCTATTGTAACTTTCATATAAATAAAATGTTTTTAGTATTTTTTTTCATTCTTTTTATGTAAATAAAATCGTTTTAATATTTTTCTTTTACTATTTTTATGTAAATACATTATTTTTATGCAAATACGTTATTTTATTATTTATTGTTTTTTTAAATCAACATGTTAGATGCAAGAAAAAAAAAGAAATCCGGAAAAAATCTTGAGAAAAAAAACATCAGGCAACAAGTTCAACAAATCAATAGTCTGTCAAGGATTGAAAGAAGAAAAGGACTATATAGGGATACTAGAACAGAAGAATCGTTCCTGGTAAGACATTTCGTGGCTTCTTAGACAAGCTTCTGACTACAAGAATACCACAAGAATGTTCAGATCTATTTTTTAGGTAAAGATTTAGCATAGAAGGAATGACAAAAAAATCTTGTCTGATTATTAGGAAAATCAAGAATCGGGAAAGACGACAGGCAAGATCGTCGACTATTGTGCCCTTTGACTGGTTTATCTAACTATGAATAGAATCTTGATGTAGCAAAGAGCTCAGAATCTATAGAATATTTTATCAACAACTTCTTTGTAGGATAACTGGCAGTCATAATCCAGATAAAATCAAATAATAAAATTTATACGATCCTGTTAAACATGGTCCAAATCCTCCTCTTGTTTTTACAGAGCTTCAGTATTTCAAAACTTCTCTTCTGGCTTTTTTGAAATAATTTCCTTACCTTTGACTGTATATTAGTATATCGTCTTTGTTTTGAAAAAAAAATGAAAGATTAAATGGCAACCATCTTTTTATATACAGTCTTTCTTTATCTTTTTATTTCACTTCCGAAATTGGTACCTTTGGGTTTTTTCTTCACGTTATAATAGGTATCTATTATATTTCATTTATAACAAAGAAGAAGAAGACCTTTAAAAAATGACTACGATGGATTACAAAAACACAATTTAAAAAATTATCTTTTAACATGTAATATGACACTGATCATGAAATGAGAAAAAACAAAACACAATTTACATTTGAGAATCACAAAAACTCATCGAAATTTATCCTTTTCCAAGATGGGGTGGGTGCGGGTATAGGTGACTAGGGTGCTGATGTGTATACTGTATCTGTCTGGCACTCACACCCTTTACAGTTTTTTCCTATTTGCGTCCTTTATTTTAAACTAATATATTGATCGAGAAAACTTTTTCTTTTGATTTTGTCAGATTTTTTCTTGGAAAGTGTATTTGTGATAATCTAAAAGATTGTACAGTTCTCTTTTCTACTTTCTCTACGCTATACTTTTTTCCTTTGCTTTGTTTTCTTCTTCCTCCCCTTCGTGCCGATGCTTATGCCATAAGAAAAACATGCGCTTATCATCCCCTGATACATCATATTATCCATACGTTACATTATTATCCTCTTACTTTCTTATGTACCAAACTATCGAAAACACTTTGAGTTCTTATACTTATCCGTTCTATTTGTATAAAATCTCCTTATGTTTTTGATCTAACCCATTGTATCACTGCATGTTATTTAGATATTTATATGTTATTGTCTGACTGTATCTTTTCGAGTACTATATCGAAGACGAGAAAAATACAATATGAGTGCGATTTCTTTGAAAGAATAGAGATTTATATATATATATATATATTCTCATACTGTTCTATATTGGCTCAGAAATCGTTACAATATTGATATAAGGTATCAAGATTTCTTTCTTATTTACCCTTGTTCTATTTGACTATATACAAGTATGAAATATCCCATAGGTTTACATAATATTTCTATGGAAATAAACTATTACTTGACATACTCTACATAAAAAAAATTAACGTCATTAACAATAGATCTTTATTAGACATGCTTTTATAGTTTAATAAACGTCAATTATTGAAAAATAATTTTCAATTTTCATAATATATTTTATTACGTTTCATTTTTTAGATAATAAAAAGAAATTCTCTTAGCATTTTATATTCATTCGAAAATCTACGATGGATACAGCACAAATGTCTGCAAATGATTCCCAATTAGTAGCTTTATCATGTAGAGAAATTGAGGATTTCATGTTAAAAGATTTCAATGCATTAGACTATGAATCATCACGAAATATGACACGTGAAGATTATGTTCTTTTAAATCGTTTACCATATTGTGAACCTAAACCATATCCAACTGCAGAAGGTTTAGAAAAATGGATATTAGTTATAATATTAATAGGTTTTCTTATATTTGGACTTATTGGAAATAGTTTATCGGCAACAATTATGTTTCGTCGTTCACGTCGAGGACTTTCATCTTATTTTTATTTAGCATTATTAGCTATTGCTGATATATGTGTACTTTATAGTGGCTGCCTTTTATTTTTACTTGATATATTATTTGGATATCAGCCACAAATCGAATCGAAATTTCTCTGTCGTCTAGCTTTTTATATCCAACATTTAGTTACTTGTATATCAGCTTGGCTTATTGTTGCTGCTACAATTGGACATTTTATAGTTATTCGATATCCATTTCAATTTATACGTTTATGTCGTATGCATGTTGCATATGCAATATCAATAATAATCTTTCTATTTTTTTTCAGTTATGCAGCACATTACTTTTTTACAGTTGATATACTTCATGTTGATTTACGAACAGACGAAGGTTATCATCCAGACCAACCTATTTGTGATACAAAGAATCATCGAAAATTATTATCATTTATTGATTTATGTTTTTATAGTGTTATACCATCAATATTAATTCTTATATTTAATATTTTAATTATGTTTCATGCCATTAAAAAACGACGAGATTATTTACAAGCAGAGAATTATATTCCAACAGAAGATATACCTCAAAGAAATAAAAATAAAAGTTCATCAACAATTCGTACACAACTTTTTCGAAGTCGTTCAGCAGGTTAGTTTTCTTCTAATTTAAATACTATAAGCATTCAATATATAAATGTCAATTGTACTCTAAGCGTGAAATTTTGTTACTTTAACAAATTATTATATATTGAAAATAGTTTCTAGGCATTTGTTTTTACCTGATTTACTTTGTTGTAAGATATTTTCTAGGTCAGAACGCCATTAATATATAACATTCATTATTTGTAAAAAGAAGTTAAGTAGAAACGAAAGTGATTTTTGCATACAGAATGCTTTTCAATTTCTGAATATCATAATAATTATAAAGAAACACTCATCTACACACATCCATCTCTACTATATATACATGAAAAAATATATGTCACATTTGATGATATTTTAATAATAAAATAAAAATTCTTTCTTTTTAGAATCAAGTTCAGCTGATCGTCCAAATAGTCAAACAAATAATGAAATGACTGAACAAAATACAAATCAGAAAGATTTATTTGATCCAACAAGTGCAACTGGAATACGATTAACATATTTATTATTACTTATATCGTTTACATTTGTTGTTTGTACATTACCAATATCAATACGTCCATTAATAGTCGATTATTTACCCTCATTTAAATCAACAAAACGTTGGCGATTAACTCAAGATTGTTTAACACTATTAATGTTTTTAAATCATGCAGTAAGTAAAAAGAAACAAAAATATTCGTTTTACTAAAAGAAAAATTTTAGATCAATTTTGTATTTTATTGTTTAACTGATCGAGCATTTCGTAGTGAATGTCGCAAACTACTTTGCAGTTTATGGTTTTTCAAAAATATACATATATCACGTACAACAGGTCAAGATTCAAATGAACATCAATCATATCATCATCAACAACTTGTCCATATTGATCAAAATCAATATATTCTTCCTCGACAACAACAACAACAACGTATTGATCAAGAGGAAACAGTTGATTAGGAATCTGCTAATTATCTTAATCACTCCTAATCAAACAGTGACCAAATCTAATCACTTTTAGTCAGGGTGTGGTTTGGGTGTAGGTGTAGATGGATGTTTGATGAATTTAATACCCACACCTAAGATTTCTTTTTCTTCAAAATGTATTCGATCTTTTATTTTAAAAGAAGTTTTTTTCTTTTTTCCGAAATCAAAATTTCATTTAAAAAATTATTTGAAATTTTTCGATTCGATGATTCTAAGAGTCAACAACATAAAGATTTCTTTCATCATCAAAAGATAAATCACGAGGACCATCTTCAGGGTGTGGGTGTGCATTAACAGAAGATAAATATATCCACATTCTCAATTTGTGAAAAAATCTATAAGATACTTTATATCTCACTTAAGTAATGGTATTGATCAATGATTTACTGGTACGGATACGATAAGTCTATCGATATAATAATTTTTAGTATTTTTCCTTGAAAATATCAAAATATTAAATAGATAACGTTTGAAATAGTGAATAAGCATTTATTGAGAGAACAAATTACATGAAGCAGAAAACAATATTTAAAGATTAAATAATGCAATAAAATGATAATTGTATAAGAATAAAGCATTAGTGATACATCCAAAGAATTGAAAAAAAAATATAATGAATAAAATGTTCATAACTTTGAAATTGTTCGATCGATTGGTTTTGTTTATTCTAAAAAAGACAAAATTGAAATTAACAAGAAACACATTTCTCTTTAACTTAAATATCATATAGATTTAACATACGATATGCTAACTAAACAAATCTTTTCTCGTTAGCTTATTATTCCAAGTATTTGTCCATTTAGACAGAGAAAAGTTTTATACTGGAATAAATTTCAGCATAGTTAGACCAAATTCAATGAAGAGTGAGCAAATATTCTCATACATATTAGTCTCTAACTATATCTGTTACTCGTATTACTCGATGATGAAAATCATGAAAGATATCGTACCTGTTGATGTAGAATGATTCTTTCTTTCGTGAAGAACATAAATAAATGGAATAAGAATGCCTATTGCCACAAGTATAAACACTATTAAACCAAAGATCCAGTAATGTGATGATACCGAAAATAAACTTTTTCTATGAAGATAAGACATTACATATTAATATACTACAGAAAAAAAGACATACGAATGTGTTGGCACTGTTTCCAACGATTGTGACAAATCAGTGGTATTGTTGATATTATTTGCGTTCATTATTTCGACGTTGCTCTCGATAGTTTCACTTTCAATAGTAGATATTGGTTTGATCGAATTTGTTGTTTTCTTTCGACGTTGGTAAATTTTGTTAATAAAATAAACAATTTTCGGAGAGATCCATTTGAGAACGATTGTTAAACCACCATATAAACCAAGTAAATAAGTTAGCGTATAGAAAGAATCCAGTTGTTGAATATATGTATATGAACAGATCATTGGTGAACATTTAGAAAAATATGATGAATAATTCATTATTGCTGACCATTTTTCAACGAATAGATCGTTGATCAGATTCATCACAGTCATATTCATTAGAAATCGACTATTAGTTATGTTGAGAGGAATCGGAGTGATATTTTTATTGTATCCTGCCATTGTTTGAATAAGATGAATACATAATTGATCATAGAAACATTCGAGAGTTGATGCTAACAATGATTCACTCGGTGTACAACCCATTTTCAAACCTTTGATTGTTATAGATTGTGTTGAATTTATCTCGATAAACGAAGCATTAATAATACAAGTAGAATTCAATTGACATGAGCAGTTATCATCATAAATCATTGCTTGAGTATATAAAATGCTCTGATATGTACTATCATCAGAAGCTAAGTATTGATAATTAGTTCCATACGCTGAGACAATTGCATTTCCATGATTTGTAGCTCGAAGTAACGAAAGTAGGCGAATGAATGTTGAAGGAGCATTGGATGTTGCTTCATTAATCATTGAATTAATATGTAAATTAAAATTCTCTTCTGATAATAATTGTTTAGTAATCATTAATGAAGATAAAGATTGTTGAATAGCTTGATTTACTGTTTGCATAGAGAGTTGACATAATCCATTTAAAAATTGTAAATGACTAGAGAGAAATAGACGATAATCTCTATGATTATAAGCAGACAAATTAGAAATTAAATTTGCTGTAATATTTAATCTCCATTCATTTGAAATCAAATCACTTGAACAAATCTATTAGAAAAATAATATAAAAAACCAAAGAAAATCTTTCTTACTTGATGAAATATCGGTTGAATGTGAATATATTCATCATATGGAGATGAAATCAATGAACATGGACATTCAAGTTCATCACTATGATCATTCATCAAATTCTTATAGAAATTTAATGATGGTGTTGAAAAGGATTTGGTCAATGTTTGTGGCCGAATAGCTGTATAAAGAGTTAAAATGACAAAAATGATACTTAGAAGAATAAGATAAAGACGAGTTGACCATTGACCAAGATGTTTTACCGTTATTCGGTCGATCTTACTTCCGAATGTCCGTGCAGGAAATATATTTAGATTCAACATTTTTACAGATAAAAATGTTATTAGTTTAGATAATAACGCCTTGAATCGATCAAGTAATTTTCGACGAACTATAATGAAAATAAGATCAATATTATATGTTATTATTAATTACCTTGTTGTTGTTTGTTCAGTTTTTTTTGAAATAAACCAAAAATAATCTTAACGAATTGGAATGTAATTAGTCGTAATGCCATAACAAGACCACCAACCGTAGAAATTAATGTCACTAATAGTTCGCCGAAAGTTTCTGCATGTTTTATTTGAGTGTAAGTGCAATAAGTTGGTGCACATGCTTTATAATAATCAGAAAATGACAATGATGTATTCCATTTTTCAATCATCATTTCTTCAACTATTGATGAAACTGAAGTATTTGGAGGAAAACGAGTTGATGTTTGGTTATATATTAATGGATGTGCATACAAATTTGAATAATTTCCAGCCGACGAATATGTTTTGTTTATATAATAGAACAGATGATTCATACAATCGGAATTGGTATAAAAACATTGAAGTGTTGATAAAAGAAGGAAATCAATAGTATAACATGCATCAACCAATCCAGGCGCCACGTAACCAAAACCGACATATTGTGGACGAACACCAGGTAATCTTGAAATACCAAATGTACCCTCAATTGCGAAATTGATTGGTCCTTGGCAATTGGGATCAACAACACAGTGACATAGTATGCTTTTTGAACCGTTCTTTGTAATAGTATTGAAAAGAAATGTAAACTAAATAAACAGAAAAGAATTAAAATTCGATCAGAATTTCACTAAACAAGATTCAGTACTTATGCTTTACAAGATTTGGATATAGTCTTAAACTTATTCTTAATTTAAACTATAATGACTAAAAGAAATTGAAACATTTCTGCTAAGAAAAATAAGTTATAATGACACGTTTTTTTAATACAAGAGAAGAAAACTCATATTAAATATTTCGATTGAAATCTATAATAGATACTGCCTGAATTTGATCTTCTCTTCATCAATGATTACTCTCAGATATCAATGACCATTTTTCAGCGCGCTAGGCAAACTCATAATGTAGTTTCCTTTATCCAAGGCGAAGCTCATTTGAATGGTTGAGAATCTTCCTGACTCTAGCTGTGAATATGCAAGTTGAAATCATCTTACAGAAAGATGTATGTCATGAGAGATCCGTAAATTTAATAGAAAGTTAAAAGGTAAGAGATAGTTTTGTAGAATATATATAGCTATTGAAAGTCATCGTTTTATTACTCTACTGCATAATTAAAGAAGAAAAAGAAATGTAATAATTCTTTAAATATAAACATACATGTAGTGCTTCTGGATTATTAGTATCGGCTGTAGTATTTTCATAATCTAGTATTACTTGAGAATTCGGTTTCGTTGATACTAATGCTGGCTGATCAGTCTGAATGAAAAGACGTGTCATAATATTGAAAAGATTAAAACTGATCACAATTGATTCGGTCAGTTGCTGGACAGTTGTATTTACTTGAATATTAAAGTCTGTTTCGATAAGCACATAGGAAGTAACAAAAGTACGTGCGAAAAAATCATGAGTATTGTTGGTAGCTGTTGAATTAGCTAGTTGACAAATACTAGACAGTAATCCAAAGTATTG